GTACCTAAACATTGTAATCTACATAGCAGGTTTTCCACCCTAATGTACATTGTTTGAAACGATATAAGTACTATTTAATTAATTGTTTTTTTTCTTTTAAATCTGCTCACAATTGCTAATTCAGAATTTGAAAAACTTTGGAATAATGTTTGATTTAGATATTTAATATTAATGCCATTTCCCAAGTATAATAGATGAAAAATGTGGCAAGTATCATATATGCTTCTTCAAAACGATTTTTCAGCTCTTTCATGTTGCTACAGTGATATGTGATAGCTGGTTAACAGAAACTGAAGATAACTTAAATTTTAAAGTAACTATATTTTATAGTCTTATAAATAGTTTAATATCTAGTTTTAGATAGTATCTAGCGATCAGCCAGTCTATAGAATATCTATACAATATTAATTATTAGTAAAAACCTATTAATATTATAATATATAATTATTACAATTTGACTATATATTTTTCATAAGACTTTTATTCGTGAAAAATTGAAAATGTGGTTTACTTAAAGAGATTACTGTTCAACATTTAGTGAAATAAATATTAAGGAACCATGTACCTATCAATGTTTACCCCTCCCCATATTTTCATAAACTATTTATTGAAGACTATTTAGTATTCCTGTGACCGCATTATCAAAGCTTTCTTGTTAACTAAATTATAAATCTAACATAACCTTCACAACTTACATGATCAACATCTATATGTTTATCATAATTTTTATTAAATATTGAAAAACTTCATACTTAAATTGTTTGTATTCATAAATTGATTGAGATATAGTTGTACAGACAACTTAGGTCACTCAGAAGTAAAAAATACCTACCAGCTAATTTTTAAGTTCTTTACTCATTATTTGTCGCATCTGTGTTTTAAATTTATTTATTTATATTTGTCGAGGTAATTTTACAGTTTTTTTTAACTCTATTTATTTATTCATAAAACTATACGAATGAAAAAAACCTAAAACTCGCTCTTTAAAATTATATAATAATAGTGAAAATGTATTACAATCTTGCTTATGCGTAGGTACATATCATTATAATTTATATCGTATATTGTTTCATGAATCTTAAAAACTTTGACTATAACTTGTTATATTAAATATGCTATATATGTGCTTCTCAAATTTCAATTTCGCACATGGGCCTTAATTGGTTTAGTTACGGTACTGGAAACCTAACCTGTTTTAAAATTTACGTTGTTTATAATATATGAATAATATTTTTTTAATTAGCCTTTATAAAAAATTAAGCTCAACAATAAAGTATCTTATCCTATTCTGTCAATGTGTTATATTATATATCATATATTATGAATAAAAATATAAAATAATACAAAACTTTTTTAGTGAGCGAAATCAGCGATGTGATTAACATTCAGACTGGTATGTTACGTGCACGCTTTTTTATTTTATTACGGCAGGCCACGGCGCTCTTATTCATAATATTTTACATCAATCTTGCTAAGTCATGTATAACATAGATATACGCTGTTTTGTAGCAAGACAGTGACAATTAATTAACGCAAACAGAGGAAATATAATAATAATAATAGTTAAATATAGCATATAACATTACCCTTTTAAATAGCTTTCTTTTTTTAAGCATTAGCTTTTTAATTTTCACGTATTTTGTTATTGATATACAAATATATTGTTTCTTTTTTAAATTTACTTATGACAACTGTAATTGTTATACATTGAGTTAAATATTCTGAGATTGTTCGGATTGTTGACATGTGCAATTTAATATACGGTATACGTCTAAGCGTGGAATAGCCACACATTATATATAGGCATATAAATTTAAGGAATGCCAAGCTAATTTGCTATATACTTGTAGGTACTTGTATAGGTAAAATTCAATCAACAATTAACAAAAAACGATTTTCAAAAGGAATTACATTTACCACGGCCCCCACCGAAACAGCACTAGACATTTTTATTAGAAGATATATTATAGGATATAAACATTTGAGATTTTGTAGATCACACATCGCCACATTGGATTCCAACGAAACCTACATAAACTTATCGAAATTTACATTTAAGGGCAGATAGGTAACTATGATGGCCCCAAGAGGCAAAAAAGATAGTATACGCTTTTTTAAAAGAATTTCGGATGAGTTCTAAAGGTAGGTACAAATTATAAAATTAAAAATATTTATGTCCAATGAATTTATTGCATCATTTTTTAGGTTCTCGAGCTCGAGATTCTAGCATCTTTGTGTGGTGTGCGGTATATAGGTGACCTACGGGTAATTTTCTTCTCTGCATAGCAAAAAAGTGGCTATTATTCACCCCTTGGGCCCCGAATATTATATTATATTATACCGCCCAGTAGTCCTCCTACAATCCTACCCATAATATACCATAGCACAGGGATGGAAAACTTTTTGAACACACTGCGTGCCCAAAATTAGTAATAACCTTTTTTTTTTCTAGAATGAAAAAAATATTAAAAATATTATATTTTGTTACACTATATAATTTGATTGTACAATTAATGTATTAGTATAAAAAGGTCAGTTTAGGTTAGGTCCTATAATATTTCTCGGAAGTAAATGCGAAAGCAGTTCCCGCGGCGTCGTCGATTTAAAAAAAAAAAAGGTCCTATAATATCGCATATACATATTATGTAATATATAATAGTAAACATTTTCGCGTGCTATAGATTTGCCATCCCCGCCAAAGCATATCGCCATCAGACGCCATGTAGGTACCTCCTATACGTATACCTATACAACCACCCTGCAAATACGCGTCATACCGTGGTACTAATAGTTAAGCGCGATGTACGCCATTGTTGCCACGCGAGTCGCATGCACACGCGCACACGCACGCCACGACGCCGCCGGCGGACACCGCTGCGCCATCGGCGACGAGACAACGCCGCGGCGGGGGCGTTAAACCCGCCAGAGACGGTATTTACACGCGAGCGCAATCGTCCGTCGAGAGCGGGCGTGCGGTAAACGGCCCGTGTAAAACCGCGGCCGATATATGGACCGCATCGCCTGTGCCTGCCTATATACGCGATATCATATGATGGGCCGCGCGTATGCCATAATATAATATATTACACTCGGCCGTCCATCGCCCGCGCCGGTGATTTATCGCCGCTATTATTATATATATTATACGACTCTGTGTGCGTGTGTGTGTGTGTGTGTGTGTGTCACGCTCACAGTGCAGGTTGTGCGTATTTCGGGAATCGTTATAATGCTGCTGTGCAGTGCTGCTGCTGCTGCTGCTGCATTGTTCTCGAGGTTATTTTCGTATGACGTGTCTGAGTGTGCTTGCTGCGGATTATGTACACGTAGTACCTGTATTATATTATTGTGTATTTATAAGAATACTTTAGCTGCTGCGGTGTAACTCGGTGAGTATCTGTGGTTGGGAATAATAAAATATATAAACGATATGCATGATGCGTGATACATAAAAGCTGAAGGTGCCCGGTACCAATACATTGAGAGAGTCTATATAGTTGAAACTTGAAATTATAGTTTTTTCATGTTGGTGGCAATGATTTGGCCGTCAGAGATGCACGTCTGCAGTGTATTTTTTTGAATGTAGGTACGTTTTTAAAAATGTCGAATGTCAAAAGTTTGAATATTTACGTCATCTGTATAGTTATCACCGGGGAAAATGTGTACCAGGTTGGGCAATATTCTCCGATGGCTGCAGTTACCATTTGGCATTTTATGATAGAAACTAATTGTTTGATAGTCTCCTCTTATTAATTACATACCACTAATAAATAAACAATATCGTCAGTAGTAGTATTTAGTATATATCGACCGCCATATAAGCATAATAAGTCCCTAACAACAGTTGGTTATTTGTACCTACTCTGTAGCAGTCGAAATCCATGGCTATCATATTATTTTAGTTAAAATAATTAATAACTGTTATTTACCGATACCAATAATATTAAGAAAAACAAATTTTCTCATTTATTTATTATTTGTACCTATTTAAGTTGAAATCGGGTTTCTAATTTATTCTTAGCAGTATAGTGAAATCACAAAAATTAGAGCCTCTTGGGGTTTGTAGTGCCTTTGTCACTCTAAGTCACTTGACACATTTGCTTTCCGCTTAGCATGAACTTTGTAGGTAGGTGCTAACCGGGTAGGTGTTTCGGGAATCGTCGTAACTTTTATAATCTATATATATAAGAATCTAACTTGATTTTGGAGACGAAGAAACCCGGTTTTCAACCCTCATTATAATTATAATAATAATTATCTAATGACCAATTATTTTCATATATTCACCGATAGTGATGTCTGTTTTTTTTATAACTTTATAATCGTTGTATTATTTTTATAGCCAAAAAATAGTCTTATGTTTTTAAATTAAATTATAAAATAATAATTTCTTCCGGAGGAAGGTCGGGCAGCTAGTATATTATAATACTGCAACAATGTGTCGGTACTCGAGTAATATTTTTTTCTCGAGAAAGAGTCTTCGTACGAGTTTCTATATGCAAGTATTAGATACTGTACTGCAGTCTGCAATATATACCAGATTTAGGGAATTTTCGACACGGGTCCCAAAAGCTTAGAGTTTAAACTGACCACTATATACATCGTACGTCGTGTTCCGCATAAATATTTGTGTAATAATAATAATAATAATAATACTATGTCATAACTTTATATGCGTTAAATCATATAGGCGATAAAAAAATCTGCCCTTCGCTGTGCAAGGCGGAGGAGGGTCTGTTGGCTGTTGCACGTCGGGTGGATTTCGTGCAGAGTGGAACAATCGGCGGTGGTGGTGACGGTGTCGGCGAGGACGACAACGATTGGTGGTGGCAGTAGCGTTTCCGTCGCCGGCCGCCGCTGTGGTGGGCGGGGTCACGGCGTCGCGTCGTGTTCCAGCCTCCTGCGCTCCCGTTGAACCGTCGCCGTCAAGCCGAGGACCCCCACCCCACGCGTCGGTCTCACGGATTAGGTTAACCGACCGTCGTAAACATAATAATACGATAATGTGTTATATAGTGTTAACGCTACGCCGGTAGTCGTATTGGCGCGGCGCAGTGCATAGCAGTGTAGCGACGACGACGGCGGCAGCTCATACGCGTGCATTTCGACCTGTGACCGTTACATATTCTATTCTATTATATCGTTTTGTGTATATTTTCTTACACGTCACGCGCGGCCACAACAATCATCGCATTATCGCTTAACAATAATATCGCATCGTTATAATATATCGTCACAGCGTTACGTCGCGGCCACGCATTACAGCACTGCACCGGGGGACAGTCGACCGTCGCGTGTAGGTACGCGCACGCCAGCGCTACGGTTACGGATACGGTACGTTGCTACTCGCGGCGCGCGCGATAAACGTTTAAACGCACGCGAGCGCGCACCCGTGTCGTCGCGTCTTAACGGTCGCGTTAATCGCCGCGGCGGCGCGACTAAAGCCATACACCGTGACGGCGGCGCGCACAGCACCGGTAAAATCCGAGAAAAATATTCGTAGTTATCGTCCGGCGGTACATCCGCGACGGTCTTACCGCGATCGCGGTCGATGCGCGTCACGTGAAAGCAGCGAGAAGTGCGTATGCTGCTGCCGTTGCTGCTGTTGCTGCAGCCGCTCCGGCTTTTCGCCCGCCTACGAAGACGATGCTGCTGGCCACCGACCGATAACAGAGCTGGCCACACCGCGGGGGGCGCATGGACTTGCAGCACCGACAACTGCGACACCGTCAGTCACCGTCATCTGATCGCCCTACAGGTATGTTCTTATCGCGATGATATATAATATATATATAATATTACATACTGCAGTGAGTTCCAAAAATTCTCAGGAATCTCATGGCGTACAAAGGGTCATTGTGACTGAGACCGTCACGCTTCAAGATATTATATTTAAATTCAGTTTTTACTTTTTTAACATTACGTATAATAATTATACAGGAAACCAATCCGAAATTCCTCTGTTGAAAAAACAGAATTCGGGTGTATCGATTTGCCTTAGGGTGGTATATGGGCTTTTTCCGGTTTATACTCTATATTTTTAGAATAATGTGTGAAATACCTATCGTAGGTACCTGCATAGTAAAATATTTATGTTATAATTTATTCCGAGTTATGTCAGGTACGGGGGACGTTAGATTTAACGTTTAAGACGTTCATCGTTATTCGAGTTTCATTAAATAAAATAATTTGAACGAAGCCTTATGCTCGATGTCGATCCCTCGTATCTATACTTTTACAGTGTATATTATGCCATACCCGGGAGTCTTTTATAAATATTATTAATACTGATAAAATCAATAGTACACTGCAGCTGAAGTGATGGCTATCACGACTATTTTCACGTGCTCGTGTTTTCAATCGGGCTCACGCGCCGGCAGTTGCAGCTCATATAATAATATATAGTTTATTAATTATTATAATAGGTTTAATTAATATAATTGTTAATAATTAATAATGCGTACACCTTTGGCGGTAAGCAGATTCCGACGCTCAAGTAGATTCAATGCTTTACCGAATACAATTCGCTTTGATGAATAAATATGCACCCGATAAGAGAGCTGACCGGACCGTCGTCTACCATTCGACCCACTGTAGTTTGAACCGGCGGCCGGAAAAAGCGTCTGTAAAAATCGGCGGCGGTACGTCTGTAGATGAAGAAAAAACGCGACAGTAATATTGTGTAGAATAAAAGTCGGAGGTGGCCGCCTTTTGTTGTTAATCAAATAAATATATTATATATACATTAATTCAGCGTATTCACAGTTCATCGGTTCACGAATTAATTAATTAATCGCGCGGCAGCTTCGTCTTATCTATCCGTACCACCACACCGCAACCGTCTTTGGCTCATCGTCGTTTTATAATAATAATAATAATTATTATTATTATTATATACAACGGACGGAAATGAACCAGGGGCGGCTGATTATTTTGCACGTAGGTACGTATTATAATGTTTATCGCGTAATACCTGTAAGCAAGAAAAATTGTACAATATCAGTCACTGTAACATATTATTACATATAGGTAGCAATAATCGATTACACGTCATTGTGCCGTCTACAGGTATAAATTATGACTAAATGCATAATAATAATGTTTATGTTATATACCTACTCCGCAAAGCAACACCGCGTATGAACATTTTTCGACGGGTTCACGTGAACGCAGCTAATTAATATTAATAATTTCATATTGCAGTACATCGTGTTATAGTACATTTATTATTATTGTTTAGTATAAAATACAGTGATTTGTTTTACATTGTTATTCTTCAATGAATAATGTATTAAATATACATATGTATATAATATATATTATGTACTAGTTTATATATTTGTGAGCTGAAGACCATAGTGCGTTTAAATTATGAATTATATAATATGATTTACATAATAACACTTAAAGTATAAGTCATTACTAGTGTTTTTCTTTCGAAATTCTTCGAGCACGAGAGCGGAAAAAAAAATAATAACGAATCCGTTTCAAAGGGATTGTCGCTGTCGTCGTGGTATTAGCGCGTGTTTACGTTTCATAATTACGCGTGGGCGGCGTGGGCGTACGCGCACGGGAAACAAACGCATAACCGTAATAATCATAATCGCGTGTGTAATCATTTATAATTATAGCTCCGGCCGTCACAGATTTGTCGTCGTGGATGTTGGCTCGACGCCCTGTCGCGTATGATATAAGTGTTTTTTTTCTCTTTATACTCGATTTTTTTTGTTTTTTTTTGGCCGTCTATTATAATATTATACGCGCGAGGCGATATAAATAATACAACACAGGCAGCAGCCGCGGCATATTATTTTTTTCGAATACGCGCACACGTCGTGTACACTTATAATAATAGGATAAAAATTATGAAATTCTATTACTAGATTTTTAAGCCATTATTTTTGCGGTGGCATCGGCTTTTCGCGCCATACAATGCATCTCACACATCATCAAACCTATAAAATTGTTACTCTTTACCACCACCCCAAGTATTTTCAAAGAAGACGGTAAATATGAAAATCACTTTTTTGTTCTATCTAAATACTTATTTTATTACGTTGTTTTTTATTTTAAATCGTTAAATTTGAGACATTTTTGATTTACCAAAAAATATTTAGAAGATATCTCGCTTAGCGGTGTCACCGTCATTTATGCCCTCTCAAAATTAAAAGGTATCACGAACGTCTATGAATATGATATACAGTATGATATAAAAATCATATGCTTACCCCAATGAATTTCTTAAGTAGGTAATACGTTTTTTTCAAATTTCACAGAATTTTTAGAATTTTTAAGGACCATATTTTCACTTATTAAGTTTTTTTATTTAATTTAAGGAGCGTCCTGTGTTGACACAAACTTCTGTAATACCTACTAATTAAAACCAATTATTTTACTGAAAATTACTAAGCAAATGATTTTTTTTTAAATTTTAATGTATCTAAATCAAATTGTTAACTCTTTAGTAGATGAGTTTGTAGTATGTAGTATTTACTAAGAAGAAAACCCCTTAGAAATGGTTCTGAAAAAATATATAATATATATATGTAACATTGGATTTCTATGTGATAATAGGTACTTCCACAATTTTCACAATTATAAAACACGAATGAAGTTTTTAAATTATCATAGCACACATTAGTACTTATAAGTATATAGGGTATATAGGATTCATAGGTAATTGGTATGTATCTTCCAAACAATCGTGGACCCATATATTGTCATTACTACCTGCACAAAGATAAATAACTCAAAAACTACTCATTTGAATTTCGATTAAGATACATCAACATTTTCAAAAAAGTCATCCGAAAAACAATTTACAGGAAAAAAGATTGATTCTCGACCAAAAAATAAGGTTCCACTTCCACCGTAGGACATTTCTTATAGGAAAATGGGATAAAAAAATCTAAGTACTTATTTGAAAAAATTATTATTTAGCTCATTTGGCTAAATATCAGAATTTGAATAAATTGATTATTGAAGGGAAATGTGAGGGTGAGTATCTTGGTGCGATTCACTCTGTATATAATATTTAGTATAGTAATGTAGGCTCGCATTTTGTACCTATATACAATATACTAACCACTAACGTATAAGCGGTACTTACACATATGTACAAATAAATGTAGGTATATATACCCATATTCGATACGATTTATCCTGCTCATCACTTAACTGTGTGGTAAACGAGAGCGGTCTGCAGTAGTCATGTTTGCGCTCGTTTGTTTGTCGATTTGTTTGTGTAATACCCGCTGCCGCCAAAACAGCAAACATCGACGGCGTCGCGACGACGGTAGCACCGGTACCGCCGGAGGCTATTAGCACGGCTGTGAGGTATATGCAAGGTGGCAGCGTATTAGCTGCACATAGAAACACAATATCATATTATTATTATTATTATTATTATTATTATGATTATCCGTCATGGAAATAAACCTTTTAATTCGGACGCGACTGCTGCGATAACATTGTACACGGATGACTACAGTGCAAACACAATGGGTCCGCAGTGGCAGTGATGGACGAGAGTAACACATAGGTACCTGCAGAGATATTATTACGGCGGATTATATTGCTATGTCTGCGGTGACTTGGACCATAGGTCATTCAGGATTGACCCCGGCTAAGCCGAAGTCCTCCGACCAGCGTTTCCTTCTCTGTCTCATTCTCTCTCTCCGTCTCTCTCACTCTCTCTCTCCTCTCTCTCTCTCTCTCTCTCTCTCTCTCTCTCTCCCTCGCGCGTGGCGATTCCAGCGAAACGTACAATATAATGTAATATTTTACAGAGTAGCCGTCGTCGCCACCGGCGCCGGAAGTCGGTTCCGTCGTATTTACAAACACACATTGTGGCGTCTATAAGCCGCGCATAACAAAATATCATACAATATAAATATAGTGCGAAGGGACAGCCGCGAAGTAGCAGACAACGGAGAAGACGGTCGACGCGACGGCGGAAAGACACACAATATATCCAGTGGATGTCGTTTGTGTAAACCCTAGACACCGCCGCCGCCTATATTTCGTGCCGTAATAGCTGTATAACATAATATAGGAACGAAGCCGTTTCGACTACTAATAATATTCGTAATTATAATTGTAACGGGGATCCCTCTGTTGTCGTGTATATTATACTTTAACCACTCCTCAGCCCCCGCCGCTGCCCCGCGGTCGTGCGTGAAAACACGTGTAAAACACGCGCGGGACGGTGGTGGTGGTGGCGGAGGCGGCAGCAATAAATGAGACGCGCGGCGCACACTGCAGGGCTGCGGGGACGGCGGTTGCGGTGGCGGTTGCTGCAAAGAAACAAACCGGCTAATTATAATGTAAATGTGAAAATGAGCGACTGCCTTCAAAGGGACGGCGGCAACGACCACAATTATATTACACGACTGTGTGTACACCGCTCCTCGCGCCCCGCCGCCGGCCCACGCGGGATCGCGAAGCAAAATATATATAATAATATCGTCGCCGCCGTCACCGTCTTTGTTCTAATGCCGCCCGCCACCCCCCCCCCCGTATTCCACCGCGTCGACCGTCCACGGGCACATATTATACACACACATCGGCCGAGGTTGTCGTCAAATTAGTTTGCTACTGCTGCACCCGTGCGTGTGTGTGTGTGTGTGTGTGTTTGTGTATGTGTGAGTGTGTGTGTTTTTGTGTATGTGTGAGTGTGTATACGTGTGAGTGTGTGTGTGTGTGCGTGTGTGTGCGCGCGTGTGTGTGAGTGTATAAGAACAGTATCATACGCCGAGG